GGTGAATGAGTGAGTGAGTGAATGAATGAGTCAGTGAGTGTGAGTGAGTGAGAGAGTGAGTGAGTGAGTCAGTGAATGAGAGTGAATGAGTGAGTGAGTGAGTGAATGAGAGTGAGTGAGTGAGTGAGAGTGAGTGAGTGAGAGAGTAAGTCAGTGAATGAGTGAGTGAGAGAGTGAGTCAGTGAATGAGAGTGAGTGAAAGAGTGAGTGAGAGTGAGTGTGAGTGAGTGAGTGAGAGAGTGAGTGAGAAAATGAGAGTGAGTGAGTGAGTGAGAGAGTGAGTCAGTGAATGAGAGTGAGTGAATGAGAGTGAGTGAGTGAGAGAGTGAGTGAGTGAGTGGATGAGAGTCGGCCCAACGTTCTATAGCTAGAAAATGGTCCAGTCTGGATTCGAACCCAGGTACTCAGAAATCGCCCGAAGTTCCTATCTGAGTAGGGCATCTCTCTGCCCTTGACATCTTCCACCATGCCTGCCAGAGCAGGGGTCCTCAGGATAAAGCCCCCCACTCTTTCCCTTAGAGGCCTGCCGGCTGTCCGTCTTTCCCCTCTCACTCTAGGATTGTCCCCCCTGAGACAGGCGGCCTGGCTGTCATTCTGAGTCTGCAGCACAGGTAGAAGCCAGTCAACAGAAGCAGCCCTTTGGGCTCTGCGGGGTGAAGCGGAGTCTCAGAAAAGGGCTAGGGCAGGGGTAGAGAGGAAAAAAATCATTTTGAGATTACAAGACGCTACCTTGGAGCCTCACCTAGGAAGGCTCCTACCAAAAGACAAGAAAAGGCCTCACGTCGGTGAGGGTGTGGTGTCATCCGAGGTCTCACTCATCGTGAAGGACAATGAAGCGGTTCCACTCCTAATTCTGCCCGGCCCCTCACCCCCAACTTACTGCCATTGAGTCGATGCCGGACTCACAGTGACCCCATAGGGCAGGGTAGAACTGCCCCTATAGGTTTCCAAGACTAATTCTTTCTGGGGCTGGAGAGCCCTGACTTTCTCCCAAGGAGTGGCTGGTACTTTAGAACTGCTGACCTCGCAGTTCGCTGTTCAACGTGTTCAACGTGTAACCGCTGTGTCACCAGGAGAGCAAACAGCCTCATCTTTCTCCCGAGGAGCAGCTGGTGGAGTCGAACTGCGGACTTTGCGCTTAGCACGCCATCACGCAGCCCACCGGGGCTCCCTTCACTCCCAAGTCATCTGAAAGCAGGAAGCAACAGGGCGCACTGAAGCACTACACTCAGGGCAAAGAACCCAGGACGCCGTCAGCAGGCAAACCAGACGTGCCCTTCCATCCACGGCCTACGTGACTCAGCTAGAGCGCTGACGGTCCGACGCGGGTGACGTCATAGCT